ATTGGTTTTTAAATGTAGGTATCTAAATAATCTTTTCCAAAATAATGTTGGGTTAAAATGATAGTGGATTTGGGCTAGGGCTGTACGGGCTCTAGCCCTCTCCCAGATTTGCCCGTGCCAAACATAATGGGAACGGAAATGTAATATGTACATGATTATTTAACGATTGATGTACAGAAAAATGAGAGAAAAATACTTTGAAAGAGAGAGAAATGAGAGAATGAAATCAATTGAAGTTTAGCCTCTTATTTGAAAGTGATTGAAATTTAGATTTTAATTTAAGAATCAATGTTTAAAACTTGAAAAAATAAGTTATTATTAAATTTCATCTATGAAATAATTAATTAAATATATTAAAGTCACAATTTTATATAATTTTGTCACAAATTATCGAATTAATTATTTATTATTTTTTCTCGATCACGATTTAAAAATTTATAGATCACAATTTATTTTTCGATCACAAATACAAAAATTTATAGATCACAATTTATTCATCGATTACAAAATAATAAGTTTGTTAATTATACATCACGAATTTTACAAGTCACAGCTTATTTAACGGTCATAAATTATCAAATTAATTGGTCAAAAGTTATTTCTCCGTCACAAATTAATAAATAATGAGTTACATCCACATTTTTTAGGTCATATATTATATATTGATCACAAATTACACAATTATTGATAACAATCAAATTTATTAGTTACAAACACTCTTGGTCCCACTCGATCGCGGTCATCGCCACTAACACCACAGCGCTGCAGCCACCTGCACTACTACAGTTTTTGACCTTACCAATATCGCCAATTCGACCTACACCACCACTAACAAACAAATAATACCCCCAAAACTAACAAAATCCTACTGCCTCCACCAATTCCACCACCACATGAACTGCTATCTCCAGTGCCACCATTACCGTCAATACATCACCACAACCGTCGACAGCACCACCATCCTAGAACCCTAACACCACCAAAACTCGGAAATCGCTGCAACCCATCCAACAACAAAAAAATACCACTACGATTTGACACGACCTGGGCCGCATCCGACATAACTTGCAGTTAAGGAAAAGTCATCATGAACTCGATTTGCTCTGCTGTAGCCATGATCTGCGTTGTTGTAGCCGTGGTCTAGGCCACTACAGTCGGATTTGCAAAGTCTCCTACGGCGCTCTCAAAGAATGAATGGTTTTTTACCTGTCATGCTATTTGCAGCCAAGAATGACTTTCTGCTTGCGACACTCACATCGAAAATGGCAGATGGATGATCTCCGATGACGACGATCTCCAACTACAATTGAGGAAGAGTGTATAGAGTGAGGAGAAGAAGAGAGAAATTATGAGATATGAAGAGAGAAAGGAAAGGGAAGAATGAAGATAAATTTAGGGTTTGTGAGTAAGGTGGGATAGATTTGGAGTATGCTAATAAATTTATTCTATAATATTATTATTAATATTTAAAATTTTGGTTATATCTGATTTTTGAAAAATAAAATAAAAAAATTTGTAACTCTTAATTATGAATAGAGATTTTAAAAATATTTTAGGGTCCGTTTGACGTGACTTCTCAAAAGTCAAAATGAGCTTTTGAGACTCAAAAACTACTTTTGGATTGTTTAGCTAATTTTATTAAAGTGTTTTTGGTAGTTAGAAGAATTTTTAGAGGAAAGCTGGTTTAATGTGATTTCCTCTAAAATCACTTTCAAAATGAAAAGTACTTTTAAATATTAATTTTAAAATGAGAAATAAAGTAACTTTCTCTAAAAACTCTTCTACAAGAAGGAAAAGCAAAAGTAAATGTTATGCCACATGGGCCCTTAGTCCTTGTAATTTGGACAACTTACAAAAATACCTTTAAAATTAGAGATATTTTGAAAAATCATATGAAAAGTTTTTTAGAAGTAAAAAATGCTGTATAAAATTAAAAAGTGACAAGATGTCACTTTTTTCAAAATTAAAAAAAAAATGACACAAACACTCAAAAAGTGACAAAAGAAAAAAATAAAAAAATTGACAAAAAAAAAAAAGTGACAAACATCAAAATAACACCATTCATTTGTGCAGCATCAGTAATCATATTCATATCCATCATGTCCAGGACAATTCATATGACAAATGACAAGAAAAAAGTGACAAACACTAAAAAAGTGACATATATGATACAAATCGGAGAAATTGACAAACATTCAAAAAAGTAACAAAAATTCAAAGAAAGTGACATACACTCACAAAAGTAACACAAATTTTAAAAAAAAAAAAAAGAAGAGAAAAAATAGAAAAAAGTGACTAAAAACATTTGAAAAAGTGACAAAAAATCAAATAAATTGACATACACTAAAATAGTGTACAAATCCTTAAAAAAAAAAAAAGGTGGCAAAAAATTAGAAATGTAACAAAAATTCAAAAAAAGTGACAAGAATTTGGGAAGAAACAGAAATTTAAAGAAAGTGACAAACGTTCGAAAAAGTGACAAAGTTCAAAGAAAGTAACGTACGCTAAAAAATTGGCACAAATTTAAAAAAAAAAAATCAAATGCTCAAAAAGTGACGGAAATTAAAAAAAAATGTGACAGAATTTTTAAAAAAAATGATGTGACAAAAATAGACAAAGTAAAAAAAAATCGAACAGCTGTAAAAATTCAAAAGAAGTGACAAAAGTTCAAAATAATGACAAACATTATCATTTTTAAGTGACATAATGTCACTTTTTAAAGCTATGTATGATATACAATATCATTTTTATTAAACGTGATGTTTGTCACTAAAAAAGTGACAAGCACTCAAAAAGTGATAAAATTCAAAAAAAGTGATAGCCATCATTTCTTCTCTTTCTCCATTCATCATCAAACATTTTTAAATAAGTTTACTGACAAAACACCAATTAAAATGTCAAGTATCTTTAAATCAATTCATATCCACCGTTATCTTACAACTCAACTAATTCATTGGCTTCCACTTAATGAAGATCCCAACATGAGAATAAGCTGAGTTATTTATTTATTTATTTTTCAATCTCCGTTGCTGGAAGAGGTCATCACCTACACCGGATTCAACCACTCCTTCACCACCACCAAAGTGCGAGAATTTTCAAAAAATATGATTGAAAAAAAAAAAAAAAAAAAGGAAACAAAAGCAAAAACAAAACAGCAACAAAGTTGACACAAATTCAAAAGGGTGACAAAAACTAAAAAAATTGACATAAATTAAAAAAGTGACAAAACATCAATTAAAATCTTAAAATAAATCATTTTATGCAAAGTCAACTACTCCACCACCACAACATAACCCATAGTTCAACCCGACACACCCAAACCTCAATCCAGATTCATTCCCATTTTTTAAACAGTAGAAGCGATCTCGCCGATTACAATCAAGCTCCTTCATCGACTACATGCGAAGCTACCTACCAACTTCACCAACCCACTGCATTATAATAACATGACAATGATTAGTCATATAGTAGACATATTTCTCATAGTAGAAGAATTATAGTTTCAACATCAGCCACATACCTCGATGCCACGCAAGGTTTGACACAATGGACATCGTTGAACTTTGTGATAAGAGCATTTTTATAGCGATAGAAGTGCTCTTAATGACTGAGGGAAGCATCTTAAGAAGAACATTTGTGAAAGGTCCTGATCCTCTAAAATGTTGAGCAACTAGGGCCTCTTCCTCTTAAATGTTGGGGGTGATATATAATGTCCCGTTCCATATCAAACGGTATAAGATCGAGGTTCATAGCTTTAATGACTTCTAAACCTCTCAACTGCCAAGAAAAAGCGATTAGGACTGTTAAAGTATTTGAATCTTTAATGGTAGACAATTATTTCTTTGTGCTTTCAGCAACCATATTCAAACGTATGCTCAAAAAATTTTAATGAAGAAGTGTCTATGATTAGTGATGATAAGCTAAAATAAAAAACATAGGTAACAAAGGATAAACCTAAACCATTTCTTTTTTTCTTTTGTAATCTTCTTAAGCTGTCCAAGTATGTATTTTCTCACTTGGGTATTTTTGCAAGCGCATTTTGTCAATAAATTGGGAGTTATTCAAATTTGTCGAATTTGTCAGTAAACTTCATAAGGATGCTTCCACAATTTATATAAAAGCCATATGAATCATATGATGTTTATTCAAATACATAATGTCTTTAAATGTAAATATAAATTGCAATTGAGATATTTTGTCAAACACCTTGATGGTATCTTAGAAAGTCAAAGGGAAAGAGCGTGTCATTTAATTTTGGAGCTAATCCAAAATTTAATAACAATATTTTTTATGCATTTATACACAAAAACATCACAATCTATGCCCAAACCTGCTTCAAATATAAATGAACGAAAAAACTACTCAAAATCAAAGTTCAACCACAAAAACAAAGTTTATTCAATATTACCTTCAAAATCACGAGTGTAATTCTTCATGTTTGAACTTCCTTCTACACTTCCAGATTTTCTCTTGAATGACTTTGATTCATGATATTAATTTACCTACTTTGAACATAGATAAAATCGACCAAATATCAACAAAAATATACCAAATTCGAGCATTTACAATGCAAGAAAAGGTTTTAACTCAAGATTCGCCCCATAATCACCCAATCGTCCAAATGGGAAACTCTTGTTAAAACTAAAAAGAAGCAGCAGCATTAAATTGGTAGGTGAGGTTTTCTCACTATAGGAAGATTGAAGTCGAAGTCGAAGTCGGAGTCGGGAGCGAAGATTTCTCGAAATTTTTTTGATTCAGGGCTTTCTCCTTCTGATTTGGGATTTTGTTGTGGTTTTGAACGTAATTAATACGGTAATACTAGTTTAAGTTAGTTTTAAGGTATTAATCAATTACATAATTTTTTTAGGGCACTGCACCTAATTTTCCCTTTTAATTTCCACTTGTTTTCAATCCTTGGATTTCTTATTTGGGCTGAAAGGTTTGGTTTATTAAAAAAGCCCATCAGCACAAGGGGGAATTAGGGCAAACAGTCCAGTTCCTCTCCCGCTCCCACATTTCAAAATCATTTCAATGCGGCTCCTAGAGACCGAGAGTCCGATAAAATATCCGAATTAGTGGAAAGTACGGTAACAAATGAGGGCAAATTAATCAAATTCATTTTCGATTCTCTTCTTCAATTCAATGTTTGCAGCTTACACCTCATAACCTGTCTCTTCTTGTTATACTTGATGCTCTTCTTTTCTATCTGGACTGAGTTTTGATTGGAATTATCAGATAATTGAACTTGGATTTATGTTGGTAGAGGAAGGACAAGGGAGATTTGAGACCGAAGTCGATCTTTAAGCTTCAGGTTTTTGGTTCCTTCTTTCTCTTTGATTTGTTTCTAAACGCCGATAAGGTTGGGTATGATATAGAGTTAAATAATTTTAGTCAAGCAGGCTTTGGTGCCCAATCAACAGCATTTTCCTATATCCACTACCATTTCAAACCACATAACATGCTTAAGCCACATTATGGTCAGCTAGTTATCAATTGCCCTATCATCCATTTCGCTATGCTTTTGCAGTGATTATTTGGGGGTGGGGGTTGGCTTAGTTTTCAGTAATTTCAGGCTTCAGCTATGTACGGTTGGTATTTGGTAATTTACAGCCGTTGCAAGATTAGCTGGGAAAAAAAGGTCGTTATGCCGGTCTAGGCTGTGGTACTCTACATGTTATTAACTAAGAGGGCATGGGGGTTTGGTGTTGATGGTGCAGGAGAGGTAGGTAGGGGTTGTGGGCTACACGAGAATCATGAATTGTTATGAAGCTTTATACATTTGTAGGTTTTTCTGAACTTTTATAACTACTGGTTTGATTTAGTGAAACTTTACCTATGTGTGGTTAAAAGTTCCTTTTTTGGGCAATAGGCAATAACTCTCTTTCTGATATCTTAATGAATAATGAATTATGTTAAGTTTAATGACAAGATTTAGAAAAGATATTTACAATTAGTGTGTCTATAAAGAATATTTCATTTCCTAGATATGACAATAAAATTTGTGTCAATTTGTCTACATTGCAACTGATATACAACATAACCTTTAAATTTGACATATTAATGGAGAGAATTGCATTTTCTCAACTGCGTTTGTATTCCCTTTTTTTTGACAGAAATTTCTTTGCGCTATGGTTATTTTTCTGGTTTTTTGGTGTTTAGAGCCAACCACTCACTCTCTAAAACTACCCAATTCTGGTACTAGGGACCATTTTTCTATATCATGAATCCACTACTTTTGCATGGTGGAGGTGGAAGAAGCTAATTTACTGCCAAGTCGCCTGTATATAGAGCAAACAAGCTCTCCAAAAGGGAGGGAATCAAAACGATGCTGAACTCTTGTTATTTAATATTATTCTCTCCTTCCCAGTGCTATCCTGCAAACCCGTTGACACCCATCTGTTTCATAGAAACTCGTATGATGTGCTAAACAGTAGAAAGCTGCTATCTCAAACAAATATATCAACTTTTCTGTATTTCGACAGCTCCTTTATGTTGGCCAGGTTTTGTGCTTGATTTTATTTTTAATTGGTTATATTGCGTTCTCAGTTATTGATAATTAATCATGTATAATGCAGTTTGAGCATGAGGTGTGGACTGGGATTGGGTGGGATAGGATTTGCAAGAATATTCAATGCTCTGGACAGAGGAAAATGTTGAAATGGGTTGGCTTGTTTGACTTAAAGTATTATTGTCATCGTCGTCGTTATTGTTGTTGTAGCTGTTATTGTTATTATTTGAGAAGTTTTGTGTAGTATGATCTATATTGAGATTCGTGATTATTGTTTTTGTTTACCTATCCCCTAAGAATCTTTCCTGAAAGGAAGCAGATGGATCCATTTTGACATTTGCAACTATTTGGCCATATTGACTAACAGTATTTGTCTTTCCATGATTCAGCTTTGATTGCAATGGATGCAGAAACTCCAAATTCACAACGACAGCAGGTTACCATTAAACTATGGCCCCCTAGCCAGAACACACGTCAAGTGCTAGTGGAGCGGATGACAAAAAATCTCTCTACTCCAACTATTTTCACTCGCAAGTATGGCAATCTCAGCGAGCATGAAGCTTCAGAATATGCCAAACAAATTGAAGAATCTGCTTTTGCTGATACAAATCAACACTATGACCTAGAACCTGATGGAGATGGCAGTTCTGCCGTGCAATTGTATGCTAGGGAATGCAGTAAGCTCATTTTAGAAGTTCTTAAAAATGGCCCCGGTGTAGAGGAGAAAGGGATTGTGAAATCTCAGGTTTCTGCTGTTGGTGAAACCTTTTTCGATATTTCCAAAGGTCAACGTGCATTTATAGAAGCAGATGAGGCAAAAACACTTCTGATGCCATTAAAAGATCCTGGAAATTCCTATACTGAACTATGTTTTAGCAATAGAAGCTTCGGTCTAGGTGCAGCTCATGTTGCTGGGCCTATATTGGCATCCATTAAGAACCAGTTGAAGAAAGTTGATCTCTCAGATTTTGTTGCGGGACGACCAGAGGCTGAAGCTCTTGATGTCATGAATATATTCTCTGCTGCTCTGGAAGGCTCTCATTTGATGTGTCTGAACCTGTCGGACAATGCCTTGGGTGAGAAAGGAGTTAGGGCATTTGGGAAGCTCTTGCAGTCTCAAACTAGATTGGAGAAACTATATCTAATGAACAATGGAATATCAGAAGAAGCTGCACGAGCTGTCTGTGAGTTGGTTCCTTCCTCAGAGAACCTCAGGGTTCTTCAGTTTCACAATAATATGACAGGAGATGAAGGAGCTGTTGCTATTTCTGAGATTCTAAGGCGTTGTCCTTTGTTGGAGGATTTTCGGTGCTCATCTACACGAGTAGGCTCTGAAGGAGGAGTTGCTCTGTCTGAAGCACTTGGGGGATGTAAGAATCTGAAGAAACTTGATCTACGGGACAACATGTTTGGCATAGAGGTTGGTGTCAAGTTGAGCGAGGCTCTTTCCAAACACGAATATCTTACTGAAGTTTATTTGAGCTACCTCAATCTTGAAGATGAGGGAGCCATTGCCATGGCCAATGCTCTTAAGGAGGCAGCCCCTTTACTTGGGATATTGGAGATGGCTGGAAACGATATTACAGCTGAAGCTGCTCCCAGTTTAGCTGCTTGCATTTCTGCTAAAAGGGCTATCGCGAAGTTGAACTTGTCTGAGAATGAACTCAAGGATGAGGGTGCCATTCAGATCAGCAAGGCTCTTGAAGCCCAGGATCAAGTGAAGGAGATTGATATGAGCGTGAATTCATTAAGAAGGGCTGGGGCCAGATCATTAGCTCAGGCTTTGGTGCACAAGCCAGAGTTCAAGTTGCTGAATGTTAATGGGAACTTCATTTCTGATGAAGGTATTGATGAGTTGAAGGATATCTTCAAAGAATCTCCGGAAAAGCTTGGACCCTTGGTTGAGAATGACCCTGAAGGAGGAGATGATGATGACAACAAAGAGTCTGGGGATGATGGTGAATGCAGTGAAGATGAATTGGAATCCAAACTCAAAAATCTTGATGTCAATCAAGACGAATAGAGGCTTCTCTCGAACTTTTTATGAAGATTTGCCACGTGAGACTAGAAATTTGCCTAACCCTATGTGGTTAGTTATTTTGAACTGATTTCTTTAGTGTCTCTTGTGATGGGCCTGTCGCACTGCCTTGTAAAAGCTAATTGATATTCTATCAAGAGTTTGATGGAATGATTTTATGTTTAATACTTACCTTAGCATTTATGTATTAGTAGACCTAGGCAAATTTATGCAGAGCTGTAATTCTTCGTGGGATCTATGTAATGTTTTCTTTCTGCGGTTTAAAGCATGTCCACTTTCTGTTGCACAGTGATGCTCATATAGATGCGGAAAATTGTCGATGCAGTGTGCCCTGATTCTCACCTTGTCATAGATGAAGAAAAATGATGACATGTTAATGTGATTGGTGGAACTTTGTCTATACGATGTTAATATTTGGCAAAAACGAAGTTTTGAATAGTGAATATTTGGAGAATGTGTGATTAAAAAGTATGGAAAAATTAAGATTTACGTACAAAATGTTTTATTGTGTGATATATAGTTGAAAATGAGTCTGTAGATATAATAAAGAGTTTTGAAATAATGGGTGCCAAATAGGAACTTAAGTTCAATAAACTAATCTATCGTAAATTTGTGTAAAAATAAATAATCAGACCAATAACTAAGAACTTGCTTTGCTTCCAATAACCCTTTTGTCATAACTAATAACCCACCATAGACTGATAAAACAAACAAAATCCCCAATATTACATGCATAAAAAGTAAAAACAATGCATAAAAAAAATGAAGAGAGCCATGCATAATTTAAATAAATAGGTAATTTACATTTTTTTTAATACCATTTTTCGCTCTTTTACACACAACACAATTTTCTTTCAATATTATCCATGCCCCCATCAAATTAGCTGTCTATTGTTCTAATATTTTGAAATCTTTTTAATAATCAAATTCAAAAAAAATTATTTTTAAGGAAACACATAAGCGCAAAATGCTACAGTTTAAGGAAATTTAAGCACGACCCTAAAGACAAAACAATAAACATAAATTAATAAAGAAAAAAGACAACGTTCCAAAATAATAATAATAATTATTATTATTAATAAAAATGCTTGTTCTAACTCTGATGGGACGACTAATAAGTGCAAACATCGAGTATAAATGATTGATGGCCTAGAAAGGTAGTGATTTGCACATATTAGTTTTATGATTGATTTTTTGATTCGTTAAAGATAAAGTGGGTCCTATTTGTGAGAGAAAAATTCAAAAACGACGATTGAAATAATGAAATAACAATCAAAAAATTGATTTTAATTGACTTAAAGTCTATACCAAACAAGCACTAAATATATTCGCAGGACAATTTTAATAACTAGACAATATTTTAATTGCATGAAAGATTCTCAATTTTTACACATTATTACATTTATATCTCAAACTTTTTTTCACTGCATGCTTTTTTCAAATTAACATAAATTGTTTGTGAATACGATTTCTCTCGAAAAGTTTCTTTAAAATAAAGTAAAAAGACTCATTTGTCCATTATATTTTTAAATGAGCAAAACAAATGAACTGGAAAAAAATGCATTTAAACATTTAATCCACGTTTGAAAGTATGTTAACAATATTTTTAGACAAAAACCATTATTAAGAACAAGATTTCTGATCAGCAAAATATTAAAAATAAGAAAATGATGAAAAAAAGTGTTAAGAATATAAGTGTGATAACGGATAAATATTAATAACCTTTAATATAATTATAATATGGTGTATTTATAAAAATTGTGATGTGAATATAATTACACTAATAAAAATAATGGTTGTTTTGAGTTTTGAGAAAGAAAGTGACATTGGGAAAATCAGACTACGGAATATAGGGGGTTCAACGTCTGGTAGATTTTGTGAGGATCACTATAATTTGGAAAAATAGAAAAACATTATGCTATGTTTGGTAGATTAAAGACTCGCCAAAAATTTCAAGTTTTTCATAATATATTTCATCAACTTTTATTAAAATTCACGAAGAATATAATTTTTGAAGCGTGTGCTTAATTGAAACTTTTGAAAACTTTTAAGACTTTTTTTAATTAATGGACTTTTGTGAAATCCATAGACTTTGATTTATACAGAGTTTTATGGAATATTTCGAAAACTTTTATGGACTTTCGTTTAAATATTTTTTCTATAGAATTTTGTAACATTCATGACTTTTGGAAAACTTTCATAAAACTATCATTTTAAATATAATCTATTTAGCACAATAGTGAAAGAGGAAATTACAGAAAACCAGATACTACAACTTTCAAATTCAAAATTCAGTAGTAAAGTTTATTTATGCAAAAATCAGCTACTATATATAATTAACCCATCCAATTCAACTAAAAACCCTAATTATTTCACCCATTTCAAATTTCACAATCCTCTTCCTTCCCTCTTCACGTGGTCGGCTAGCTTGTTCCTGCAATTTGTATGAACTGAAAATTATTCTTTACGATAGATTCATTCGGTAAGAAAACTCAATGCTCGATCCTTCAATTCATTTTTACTCAGCATCAAATCCATTATGTCAGAGGATTCAGATCCTCCAAAACGTGAAAACTCCCCATCATCCAGAATTCAAATCCCAAATGCAGAGGAATAAGGATTCGGATGATGTCGGTCAGGATCTGGTTCACACAGACCCGTCACCCAAAGGCCCGTCTGATTTATCCGGTGATGGTGGCGATGGGTGGAGTTTTGGGGGGTCTGATCAAGACTTTTGTGACCCAATCCGAGTCGATGCTGGAGACATACAGGTGGGATCTTAGGGAATTCGGATCGGGTTTCAAGGAGGAGTCAGAGGTCATCTGAGAAGTCGCTAGCCGTGTTGTGAAGGAACTTTCGGCTTCGCTCGAGTCTGGTGCGATGACTGCTCAAGATTTGTTGGAATCCGTTGGATAGGTCCTTGATGGGGTGCTCAAATCGACTACTGATATAATTTTACAAGGGAAAGAAAGCCTTATTTCTAGCTTGGATGGGGAGTTTGAAACGCCTGAAACTAATAAGAGCTTGAGTTCCAGTTGGATGGTGGTGTGGTGGTGTTAAGGCATCATGGTGCTCATGATGATGGTTGCGAGAGACACTGATGTTAATGTTGGTGATGTGACGGTGGTTTTGGAGGCGGTGGTGCCCAACTATTGTTGTGTAGTTGTTGATAATAGGGTGGTAGTTGTTGCGGTGGCGATGACAGTGACTGGTGGTGGTGTCTGTGACCACCAATTAGGCATCTGTGACCAATTGTTTGACTGATTTGTGACTAAATATTAGGCGTTTGTGAATAAAAAATAATTTTTGACCAATAAACTGTGACTTAGGTGACCTATAGATAAAATGTGACATGTAATTTGAATGATCTGTGACTTCGAAATAATATGTAATCTACAAAAATTTTTATTTGTGACCACGAATTAATCTGTGACAAATTAATTTGATGATATGTGACCAATAAATAAATATGTGATCGTTAATTATGTAACTATGACTTTATTATTTTTATTTAATAAATATTTTTAATTAATTAAATACATACCTGATTTTTGAATTTTTAAACTATTTACTTGATTTTTGAATTGAGATAAATATAACACTTGAAATGTGATTTTTTCCCATAGTGAAAAATTCTCACATAGGAGTTGAAGGATCCATCTCCTTGGGCTCTTCATATTCCCTCCCCAAACAATAAAATATATATTAAAAAATTATATAAAAAAATTTAAATAGATAAATAAATTATTAAAAATATATAATATTTCAGTATTTTTTGATAAAATATACAAAGAAATATATATTGTTCAATATTATCAATATGTTAGATCTTTAAAAAATAAATAATCAAACAATATGTTTAAAATTTAATTACAAAATAGTATATTTTAATATAAAAATTTATAGAGTTTAATTACAATTTGATCTTTTAAAAAAAAAAAGAAAAAGAAAAAAGGAAAAGAAAGAAAGGATAGAAAATACATCAATACCTTTAAAGAGTGTCAAAAAATCTATATTGAATATTCACAAAATTTTAGAATTTTTAGAAGTATTTAAAAATCCTAATGTCCCATTGGCTACACCAACCAAGGGTTATATATAGGGGTGGGCGCGGGTCGGTTTGGTTTGATTCTAAAGAGATCCGAACCGAACCAAAAATTTCGGGTATCTAGTAAATGGAACCGTCGGGTCCAAATATAATTATGGAACCGTTCGATTTCGGTTCGATTCTGTACTATAATTAAATTTTTTAACATTTATAACAACATTATATAAATACAACTAATAATACATTCAATGATTTTGGAATATCAGAAACTAGTAGACTATCTTATTCAAATGATAGTTACGATCAAAGTTTCGATCGGGGATTCGGAGGTCACAGCGTCGGCCGACGATTATATAGGTTTTGGAATGTTAGCGAGGCTACGAGAGTGAGTGCGAGAGTCGAGACAACATTATGCACTTTAGTGTAGGTGTTTATGATTATTTAGTGGATTAGATCTTGTTGGACTAAGAAATGAAACAATAAAATGGATAATTGAGCCAAAAATTAAAAAATGAGAAATGAAACAAATTATTGGGCCAAAAATTTGGATTTAGAAATTGTTAATTTGTTTAGAAAAAATTAAAATTAAAATAATTTGATTTACTCAATATAAAAAAAATTAGAAATATTCGGTTCTTCAGTTCTTGGTCTAGAATCGAGAACTGAATCGTACCCGTAGGTTCTCAATTCAAATACTCGTTCGGGTATTTAATTTGACAAGAACCGTTGGGTTCGGCTCAGTTCGGTTCGGATTTGGTTCGGGAGATTTGCCCAACCCTAATTATATATATTGAGTTGTCTTTTTTTTTTTTTTTTTTTTTTTTTTTTAATATTTCAATCAAAGGCCAATTTTTAAAATATTTCAATCAAAAGCCAAAAATGAAAAAGTAATGGTTACAAGCCTTAAAATTTAGTGCTATCGGTGTCATTTTTCTCTCGTAACATAACCCATGAACATTGGACCTTAAAGTTAAGAGCCCATTTATTGTTTCTTCAACAAGAATTTATAACATTCACTAGTTAGATTATTTTTAAGGTAACGTTAGTATGTTAAATGCATTGAATTCTTATGAACTACATCATCAACCCAATGTTTGCTATGGCCATATTGGAATGGACTTTCCTTTATTGAGAATGCATAGAAACTTACTGTCATTCTAGATCAAGCAAATAAAAAGTTTCTAGCAAGCCTTATCTAAAGCCAAAATTCTCCCTCCCGTCAACCTTAGTGAATCCAA